AGAAGTTTTGAAAATAGCTCAGAACAGCTGAGAACAGAAGAATAGAAGAGCTTAGACATGAACGGCTATTAATTCATGTTTGCTGAGGAAAAAGATGAGGTAATATCCAAACAGGTGAGGTATAACAAATGAGAAAGCTAACTAGAAAAATACATTATTTATATTTAGGTGTGCTTTGCAGTACTTCATGATCAGTGAGACACATAGTGATGTGCTGGATAACTAATGAGTTTATAAAATGTAGGTGGCTCTAAACTAGTTTGCAACTAATTTTTCAAGAACTGAAAGAAATGTAATGTAAGGAAATGCACCAAAGAGCTTTTTTGCTTGCTTACACTATGGAAAAACTACCTGAAAGCTGTACAATCTAGGCTTTTTCTTATATTTAAGCGAACATAGGTTTTAGGCTTCCAGTGAAATAACCACAGTGTTTGGCTTACAAATGTGCCAAATGTGTGTGATGAAGGGGTCGTCAGAGCAGAACTATGCCCAACATCGTCTTCCTGTGGCTCAGTGTTGCTCTTCTTTGTTTATTCTGAACACGAGTACTAGAGTGCTATCAACAGACCTCCTTCAGCATAAACAGGGTCAGTAGAGCTCTGCAGCCTTCAAATAGAAGATGTGCTCCACCCTATTTAAAAGTCAATACATAGACCTTTCTGTTGACTATGTATGCAGGCTGGCGTCAGGGGGAAGGTAGCTCTTCCAGGGCAGCTAAGGGAAAGCAAAGTAGGTGTCAACAAAATGGCTGGTTTCCCCTCTTATCTTTGAAAAAGTAATGAGAATCTTGTGAGAATGTCACCAAAAAGCATACTTTATCCTTTTTGATCTATGCATTCCAAAGAGAGTGCTGTTCAGAGCTTTCTGGCATCATACAGAAATACGATTATATGAAAAAGTAAATCAAACTGTTAGTTATCCTTTACATTATATGCAGAATTGCCATTTCCAGGTATGGGAAACTGCAAATACTAGGTGATATAATGAAGATATAATTAATGGAATAAAACTATAAATAAATTTGAAGCAAATCTTAAGAAATGTTCAATATAAAATAGTATTTTAAAACTGACTTATAGGAGATAATTTCAGCAAATAACTGTACATAATTTTCATACAATTTATTCCTTGAACAAATGCAAATTCTCAAATACACAGATATAACAAGAGCTTATTAAAGTTAAATACTACAGAGAGCTTCAGAAAAGGGAACAACGTATGTGAATTCAAGAATTTTATGCTACTTAGAACTCAAGCGACAAAGATTAATGTTACAATCAAGCTTAAGAGAAAAAAATGAACTTGATGAATAAGGGAAAACATGCAAGTACAGAAGTAACAACAAAACATGCATTATAATAAAAAATAGAAGACAAATAAAATCAGATCAATAACTAAGAGCAGAGCATCACACAAACTAGAATAATTAATCCAAAAAGGGAAAAAGAAAGAGGAACAAATGAACACAGATTAGCAGAGTTTATCACAAAAATCCCTATTTTTATAGTAAGAAAATACTGTACTGCATGAAACCCCAAAATTAATAGAAAGAGAAATGTTCTTAAGAAAGTGAGAAGACACATTTTAAGAGAGTTTAATATCAAATGCTGTCATTGCTTTTGGTAAATACTCATATTTTTTCAAGCACTGCCTCTTTATTGAGGTGCTTAAATGGAAAGCAAGACTCTCTCATCAAACTGACTATAGTTTTGGGAGCCAACATTTATTCAATATCTGGACACTTTGTATCTGGCTCTTTATAAGCAAATTAAAATATTTGCTAGGCAAGTAAATGAAAAAGCACAAGAAAATACTACCTTGTAAAGAAAATGTTCAAAACTGAAATGAGTTCCCTGCCTCAGTTTTCAGTAAGAAGGGATAGACAGGCTGGCTTATTGGAACAGAGGTACAAAAATGGAAATTTCCCACTTAGAGCAGAAATAGCAAGAACTTAACATAGTGAATATGAAGGTTGTAGGCAATTTCCATAACAGAGCACAGAGATAATGGCACAGGAAATCTCCAATCCACAAAATGGTACTTAAGACATCTTTAAATGTAGGTTTTCTACCATGAGTTTGAAGATTAGCAAATGTTTTAAAGAAAAGATGACAAGTGATCTAACCAGCTACAGATTATTTAGTCCAATGCCAATAAACCATATTTCAAATGCAGGCAAATGGGTAGATGAATTGAAAGGCAAGATAACTTTATCCAGGTAGAACATTCCAGACTAGCTTAGGGTTTGGGGTTTTTGTCTTGGGGGGTGGGGTGTTGATGAAAAAATCACACAAAGAAACAGAAGTATCATACATGCTCTGCCTTAAACCAAATTGCATTTTCATTATGAAAAAAAGTGCTACCTAATGCTGTAAAGCTGCAGGTAACTGACCCATCAGCTTCAGGTCCACTTTAACAGAATGTCAAATTCTAGCTACCTTTATGGAAAATATAAAGATTGTCCACATGATCAAAGAAATTTTCCACCTTACTGTGTACTATTTCAACATACACTGTATACACTGTACAATAATGTTATTCTGAATTCCAGAATGCTTATTTGAAATTTCACTTTCTGGTTTTGTCATTTTCAGTCTGTATCTTAGTTTTATTATGTCTCTGGACAAATATTGGAACAGCAAGATTCCTGTGAGATAACAGATAATCATGAGAATAACATGATACCGCAAACAACTTCCATCAGATCCAGTATCTGCAACAAAAGCAATTGGAAATCATACAAAAACACTTCATCTTGTGAATATAACTGCTTTATTGCAACAACAGACAGAATAAGTGTAAGTGTACGAATTTTCATTTTACAACAAAGCCCAGTTAAGTGAAATTATATGTTTTAGGACAAATTTTTTGTTCTGGTAGATTTGCAAAGCTATGATTTCCTACTCTGAGGACATTCTGGAGAAAGACAGTGATGCACTATACTTGTACAAAAAAATTTCTTTGCATTTGATGAACCTCGATAGCGCAAAATTTCAGTGCACTTTAACAGTGTATTATAATGAGAATATTATAAACAACTTTTTTTAAAAAAAATCAACATAGAAGGACAGATATTCCTAAACAAAAAGGTATTGAAACATTGAAAAGCAATTATTTAACCAGGAAAGGATTTGTTTATATGTATGAGTTTACTTGTAAAATATCACTGTTCTCAATAGGAATGTGTTTCAAATACACTTCAGGTAAACAGAATGAACTTTTCTGACATTAGACTATTCATATATTTAACTGTCTAATGACCTATAATCAAACTCTGAAGAGATAAATTTATCGAATTCTCATTCACATACTTTGCAAAATTTGAGCAATTTTTAGCAATGTTAAAAAGTGTATTAAAACCCCCATACTCATAAATAAAATATTTTTTAAAAGATTTCTCTGTTTCTCTCAGTTTTGGTTCATGATTCATGCTCTCAGATATTCTGTGGAGTTGAAAGTCTCATAATGAATTGTTTTGAAGTAACAGCAATATGAAGTAACCTTCATAACCTATAGTGCATGGCACAATGCAAAGAATTAAACCAAGATATATTACTAAGCCTCCTTTCCCAATGATTTTTTTCTTTTAAAAGTAATTTTATGAAGATGAGTTTAGTTAATAATTAAGACATTAAAAAAATTGTATTATTTAAAGAAAAGTAATCATACCTGTACCACCTAAGAGGGGCATAGAGCTCCAGTCTTTGAATCCTTTAATGATTAGAAATATTTTCTGTGTAAAGTTGGAATAAATGGATTTTGCATAGAGAAATGACAACATATGGGCTGAGATGGCCTGGAGATTGTGAAGAGAACCTGAGCACAAAGGATTTTGTTACAGTAGTAATGTGAATTATTAGTATTATAGGCCAGAGGATGGACACATGTCCACTTTGTCCTTTTCCTTGGTTGTGCTATGGGACCTTTTCTTCAAGAGGATTTCTTGAGTAGACTTTTGAGTAAGCAGAAAAGACAGCAATCTGGCTATTGAGATACACTAACTTCAGAACCAATTAATAGGGACAGATACAAAACCACTCCAAGTTCCCAACATGTTCATGGCAGGCTTAGAGTCTTCTACTGCAAACTACTGTATTTCTATTAGGTTTTGGTCTGTGAAAGAATAACCGAAGGATATATTTCCAGCTCATTAACCTGTAGTATTTCAATACAGTGAGATTCTTCTGGTTTGGTTCTTTTTTTACTGGGATGATATTAATAAAAACAAGAATTCATAAGAAAAGACACTCAAGCACTATAGTACTTGAAATCATTACCAGTTCTTAAAAGTATAACCTCAAAATTATATCCTTTGCCTGTACTGAAGATATGTTTACCAAATTTGTTTAAAAACTTTTATTAGTATAGGTATTGGAGAAGTATGGTTTACATTTGCTTCAAGATATTTAAAAATCATAAATGTATTCTCACTCTTCATTACACTTTCAGTATGACCCAGGTTTTTGGCTGGTTTTTTTATTCCCCGTCTATAACCTTATCTTACATTACCCTATTTGGGGGTTATTAAAGATGGTTGATCGGTTGCACATTTTTCCAGAATGAAAATAATGTTAGAAACTGTGAAAATATTGAAACATCATGGATAAAATTACCGTGTTTAATTACTGTAGAAGTTAGGAAGTTGTGCACATGCTTTAACTGAGAGATGTTTAACTGAGATATTTATTGTGTTTCTCAATTATTGGAAGAGGGGATCATAAATACTTTACAGAGAATAAAATAAAAATAAAAAATGGCATTCTATACCTTTTCCCTCCTGAGAATCAACCTTCAGAAATGCTTAAAAAGCAAAGGTGCATTGCACAGGCTTCTACACAGACTGAAGAGTTGAAAACCAAACCCAAGATGAGTATCACATGTATGAATCATGGCATAAATAAAGCATGAATCCTAGTCATGTTTCACATGTTCTTCTGCTCTGAGATTCACCTTCAGAACTCTGGTAAAAGGAAAGGTGTTTCCTAGCAGTCAGTTTTAGGAGAGGTTCACTGTGCACCAAGCAAATCTGGTCATTTCTTTTTAAAAGAAGGCTCTTACTAACTTCTCCTGACCAAATCCTTAAGACATTCACTTAAACAAAGAAGTACTCATTTTGAAAAAATTAATTGGTCTGAATATTCTTCAAATAATAATCTCAAACATATTAAAAAAGTAACACTTATTAAAATGGAAATAGTCCTTTTTTCTTGCCTTTCATTTCAGAAAAAAAAAAAAAAAAAAAGAGTATAATTCACAGTGATTAGAACAAGAGCTCTGTGTACAAAACCCAGTACATTTTACGGGAGAATAACTTATGAGAAGTGTTATTTCTTCAAAATAATTCTTGTAAATTAGGGGCTTTTTAATACCCATCTGAAGATTCTACTCTATGTAATTACACATGCTATTACCAGTTCTTTGAAACCTTTTCCCATAAAACCAACATGCATAAATAAGGTATTTGTACATGAGGATTAACACTGAGGCCAAACAATATGGGAATGGCAAAAGTCTGAATATAAACTTCAGACACACTTACCTTTACTGGGTACTTCTGCATTTTGCTGCCAAAGGAGGGTGGTCTCCTATATGGTGAAAAAAAAAATGAAAAACCAACAATGGTGATTATAATCTTGCATCATTTTGATAAAGAAAATTCTTGGGCTTGGGGCAGTTCTTCCTGAGATGGAGAAACACTGTAGTATTTTTTTTTTTCCAAAAAAAAAGAAAAACAGAAATAATAAAATTCACCATAATACCTACATATACATCACTAATAGACAGACCAATGTTTTTCTAGAGAAGTACATGTAATCTGGAGTCTGGGATAAAAGCTGCTCCACACGCCTACTCCTCTGCTATTAAAAAAAATGTTATTTGATATTACTGTTCTTTGACAACGAAATAAGTTCTATTCTAAGAACTAGTTAGTCCTATTCTAGAACCAATTCTGTTCTTTTCTATGCTAAGTTTCCATTCTTGGAAATATACAGAAGGCTCCTTTTCCAACAAGCATTTCTTGCTGTACAAGTGTACACGGCTGTCATTGGCAACAGCATGCCTTGGTGCCACAGCATCTTTTGTTTTCTGTCAGCTACATAAATAAAAAGTAGCCTGCTCTTTTTTAACATTTTTGGCAAACTTTATCCTGGTCAATCCCATTTCCAAGCTAGAGATGCTGAACTAATATGAATGCAATATCCACTTACATTTAAAGTTGAAATCAAGTTAGCCAGCCTTTCAGAAAGTTCACTCATTAAATTTGCAAAGACAGGGTCCTTTTCTTTGAGAGGTTAAAATCTTTGACACTGTGAAAAATGTGTGCCTAGTCATCCTTCCTTCTGACTGTCCTCTTACCTGCAATATGACATACACTGCACAAGACTCACTTGGACTTTTTTCCTTTTTTCTTTTCTTTTTTTTTTTTTTCTTTTTTTCCATGGGCTGGGATTGTCAGGAGCTTGTTCCTTGTGTTCTTCGTTAGTGGAAATGGGTTTAACCCCTCGCCTGCGAGGATTGAAGAGTCAAGAGTGGAGGAATAAAGTCCAGCTAATGAGGAAGGGAGAACAGGAGAAAGAGGTTCCACAGTTCCCTGCTTATTTCCTATTTGAATGTGGTACTCTTAATGGGTTAACTACACTAGCTTTGCCTTTGCAAAGATAATTGTTAGAGCCTAAAAAAGGCTATTGCAAACAAATTTGCAAGCTTCTTTTCATCCCAGGTCTCCCTTTAACAAGATTTGTCATCCTTCCTCCCACCCAAACTCCTCGTACATACCCATCTTTACATGTGTCAACAGTGCTAATGCTGAAACTGATAGCACTGAGCTGGCCAACATCTGGACATGCACAGTGATTTTCTGCTCTGCATTTCAAAGAGGAATTGTGGGAGGCACACTGACTTGGAGCTGCTTTTATGCTTTCTCAATACAATCTAGAAACATTTCTGAGGGGCAGACTGACATAATTTAGAGGGTCTACGTAAGTTAGACTGGATGTCAGGTCACAACAGTACCTAAAGCTTGCATGAGGTCATTGTGCTATAACTTCAGGTCTACCTCAACCCTCCTATTGCATACATAATATGAAGAGATCTGTGAATGCTTCCTCTAAGCCTTATGGCTTTCTAGTTCAATTCCTAGCTGCAGTAAAAATCCTCCTGCAGCATTTTACAGGGCCTCGACAGGGCCAGAATAGGCTCAGGGATCTCATCTCTGTCAAAATTTTAGGTATTTGATCTTCTCTGAACTACCTAAACGAAAGAGTTGAGAGAATAAACTGCAGACTTAAAGAGTGTCTGTCCCAAAACAGGGAGTACCAAATACTTTAATACTTATAATTTAACCGCAGTATTGTTTATTGAGAGAATTTGAAAGTCCCATTTTTGCACAGCACAAATCCTAAATTCTATTCCAAATCCACTGTGGTTTTTTTAAAGAATGTCCATGAGTCAAAGCTGGGGACAGATCTAATGTAAACAGCAGTTAAGAGAAAAATGCATACATTATTGAAATTGTTAACAGTTGGTTGAACAAATTGGTAGCTGAAATATATTATGTCTTACATGTCCCTTTTAAGATTAATTTCTTGCTTTTCTAGAGCAAATGAGCTGAAAAGTACACAACAGGATTTTGCAATTGCCCATGTACTTCAGCTCCTCTTTGCAGACTTACATACATACAACTGTGCAAGACAAAAGGCAATATTTGGGTCTGAAAAATCTCTCCCCTTTAAACTGCAACTTCAGAAGTACACATGCATAGAGCGGTCATATTTCTGCATGGGAGTCTACAACTTGCAAGATTCCAGTATTGCCAAATTTCTTGTAGGAGTCACAGGATTTACCAAACAGGTACATGTCAACTGTACAATCAAGCTTCTCCTCAGAAATCCTGAGCATTTCCAAAGTATAAAAAGTATCAGATCTCCTCTACAAGCCTTGGAGACTGTAATGTTTGCACCACAACTCTAGCACTTTCTGCCAGGCTTACTGTTCGTGGGCAGTACACATGATCCATGCTTCTAGTACAGACATGCGCCAGCTTACTATACCATAGTATACCATATACCGTACTTTGTTGGTATTAACAGCTGGCAGCCGGAAGGCCTGGAGAGATACAGAACATCCTCAAAAACTGCTTTAATAGAATTTCTAGTAAAGAAGGAGAAAGTACCCTGGAAAATCTGCATGCTTAGTAATGTTACTTAAACCAGTTTGAGCTGTGAAAGCAATCTAACCACAGCTGTGTAGAGACTCCTCTGGGCTCATTTACTCAGTTTTTGGAGCACAACCATAACATAGTCAAAAGCTGTCTACTTCTCAAATGGTACAGGATGTGTCTGTCTACCTAAACCTCACTGATTCGGAGACAACTAGAAATGTCAAGGAAGTTCTCATTCTGTTACGATATTGCCTCAGCTACAGCGACTAAGACATTGGCACAGAAAGAGAAACTAAAGGCATTTTTCCTCCGTAATGAACACACATTGCCTGAAAGGTCAACTCTGCTGCCACAGTATCTGATAAAGAAAGAAATTAAAAAAGGCTCAGATCCAGCTGTGAAACATGAAAGGATGCACACAGTAAGATTCAGGGAGAATTTGGTTACTTGTTGTTCTTCCTGCAATCAATGGGAAATCTGAATGCAAAATGTGAGGAAAATTTGCTGGTTAACTTAAAAATCTAATTTATCAACTAGTAAGTTTTATAATTGTTAACACATAATTGTAAAAATAATGGTAATTCATAAATTTATAGCTCTTTTGTTACTTTGAAGGATTCATTTGTATTATTCAGACTCCTAACATTAGCTATGACATTATTTTATTCAAATCCATCAAATAATAGATTTTTAAATATACCTGATATTTTTATAAAACCAGTATCTTATTCTATGGTAGAAATGATGCATGGCAAAACTTTTCACACCAGTTTTTCTGTAAAAAACACTAATCTTCCAAAACTAAGCTCCCTGGATATAATTGCAGGTGAAGGAATAAGGCTTCAAATACATCATTTTTAAGATTAAAAATCCATTTTAAATCTATCTCCAAAATGCCAAAGACAACCAAAATATTTAAGATCCAACCCTGTATTACATTTCTAGGTTTGATGTTGACCTGAGAGTTATATCATCAAACGGTTTTGCATCTATAGTCACATGGATGCAATCTTTTTTTGCCTACTCCTGAGTCAGTGTTTTCACTGACTGGAATATCAGTTCCAGTTTTAGCTGTCATGTGGGAGAAGGTAACAGAGGTGCCTTTTGAAAAAAGGTAGTGGTACAAAAGAACAAACAGCTGCAAAGTTGTGCACAGACTGAGGTATAGGAATGGCTTAAAAATACTGAATTACCAACTCGGCTTCTCTCCTATTCAGTCTTTAATGCCGGAGCCGTCCCATTCTGTATAAGCAAGTAGATATTTGCGAGCCCATCATAAAGATTCTCTATACCACTAAGGTCTAAACTGAGACCTCAAGTCCCTCTTCTAATTCATGTGCCTCATAACTCATGTATACTTCTTTTTCCTGCAAAAATAACCAGGGAACTTTCATTTTGTGCAGACTGAAGTAATATAAAAACTATAAAATTTGTTAAGAAAAGTGGATTTTTGTTATTTTCTACCTAGCCCCTCCTGTTGACCCAATACCAATTAACTAGGCTTATGAAATAAGTCATAAGAAGTATTAGAATGAGGAGAAGAAAAAGCTTGTTATGACACAGTCTGGAATATTTATGGGGAACATGAAAAGAAGCACACAACAGAGCACGCAAACTAAATAGACTGATATCTATCAGTTGTAAAGCAGAAGGTAAGACTGAGCTTGCATATATAAAGGATGGCACTGAAGTAAGAAAAATGAGGTAAACATGAACATTAAAGAACAATTTAATTGTGTTTATTTCACTGGGAGAGAGTGGCGATTTTAACCCTTCTGCTCTAGAAAATAGTATTGCCCGGGAGCTTGACACTGAAGAAGCCACAAAGAGAAATCAGGGTTCTGCTCAAGATTTCTGAATATAGCAATCAGGTCAGTCTATTAAAATATCTAGTAGCCATTGCAAATTCTGATGGTAAACGTATTTGGATTAGATTTTTCTGCTTTGTTACTGTTCAACATTTCCATAGAAGGCAAGGAGCTTTTTTTCTCAATGGAATTGAAGATAACTTGTATTGAAGAATTCGTCATGATGAAGAATATTCAAGTAGGCTTTTGAATGGCAGAGGTACAAGGAAACGCTATTCCAGGATAATCTTTTCCTCAAAGAGTTTGCCAAAATTACTGTTTCAGAAAACTGCAAGACACTGTGCAGGTTACTTATGATGGCCATTTTGTTTTTTTCCTGACCACAAAAGTGGATAAGGGATAAAAATGAAAGGAAAAATCAAATTCTGAAGACCTTCTAGTTCAGGAAGCCATTATTCCACAAATAATGTTTTCCAACCAAATAGAACAAGACAAAAATCTACTTTCACATGCGTTTCAATGCATCTTACACATATAAATTACTTACCTTCCTACTAAAGAAGAATAAAAGCAAGCCTCTTCATTAAAGAACTGGGGGCTATTTTATGGAGTTTTTAAACAAAAAAAAATCACAAAATGTGTTTTCTTAATAACAGTGTGATTCAAGATCAATTTGACTACCAAAAATAGATATTTTAAATTACTTTTTTTCCTAATGCAAATGCACAAAGCTTTCAGAACTGTAAAATCAGAGGGAATGAGAAATTCAAGGGGAAAAAAGCTTGAAAAAATCAATAATAAAGCATTTCTATTCTTTGGCATGAGTACTTTGGGGACACAAGGGATAATGCCGTCTTTCAACTTGGTATTCTTCAAACGAGGTACATCCAGCTCCTAAAATTTTATCTTTCATTTATCACTAGTCTCTGTTTCTGTGACAACAGACCTTAGGAACAGTGAATCAGATACTCAGTAATGCAACTTCATAGAGTTTACATAGGAGTCAATTGAAATATGCCAATTTAAACTTGCTGAGGATCTGGCACAGCAGATGACTGAATTTCGGTCAGCTTAAAGCATAAAACTGCTGCATCCCAAAAACCAGATAACCAAATCTGTATCAAAGATTTTAAAGCAGACATCTCCAAATAGTAATTGCACAGGATAAAACAGAGACAAAGTTATTCACACTAAGTATACTACAGTACAAAGTTCTACAAATTAGCCATAACCTAGTGAGTTGGGTGTATCAAAGTTTCTCTTTCACTGTTTGCTTTTTAATCACTAATTGATTAAAAAAAAAGTATAGATGTATATTTTTATTTCAAGTTTTAAAACTATATGGAAAGAAAGCTCTCTTATAATGAGTCTCTCAGAGATATCCACATGATTTTGTTGATTAAAAGATTTAATATGTGAAACAGAGTAGATTGTTCTGCGAGTTAAAAGCATTATTTTCTTTTGCAATCCATACAAGCGCAGTCCTACTTACATACTACAATTAATAGGCATAGCATTTTTCAGCTGAGATTTAAATGGAGGCAAAAGTAAGGTTCAAGTCTAAGTCAATAGCTGCTCATGACTTCTTACATTTCATGTCTGAATCAGACTGCCCTCAGACTAAGTCACACTCATGTCTTCTTCCAACCATTCCAGTTTTATCCTCTCCCTCTTCTATTTTCTTACTTGCCCTTGTGTCTCTCCTCGACTGCAGGTCCTACTGTGACAGACCGGATTTCTACAATCACATGGTTCCTACACTCTTGGACTAGGGGAAAAAATCAAAGTGACATTCCAAACTATTTTTATGTATCCAGCTCATAATTACAAATTAACAGACATTTAACTAAATCTCGTACAGCTAGAGAGACTGAGGTAAGGCAACCAATAATTATTATATATTGTCAGATGCTACTTACAGCTCCTTTTTACCCTGCTGCTTTTGTAATGATTTTCTTAAGTTGCAGTTACTAGAAAGACTTTTAAAAGGTCATGAAGTACTAATTAAACTACTGTTTATAAAATGTACACAAAAACCAGAATAGTTAAATATATATCCTACTGCGAAGCATTCTCCTTCATACTGAATTACCTTATTTTAAACTATAAATACCCAACAACTATATCCACACATGTACATTTTCTATATACACAATAGATGTAGAACAGTTTAAAACAACTGAGTTTCAGATCTGAAATATAAAAATGGCATTACAGTATACTCCGGAGAGGAAACATACAAAAAGACCCTCTGAAAATTACATAGAAAATTATTTTATTTTTATTTTAAAATTTACTAAGCTAAATCATGTTTTATTTGTTCATGAAGATACCTAATGCAATCCTTAACAGTATGTCTTTGGTCTTGAAACACATTTTGTAACCCTACAGGCAGTCACTATACACCAACCAAGTATCACAAATGTTATCCTCAAATATATTTATCAGTTTGTCCCAGAAAAGAACAGTAGAAATTTTAAAATAATTGGGTCATCCTTACTACATGATTGTGCAGATAAGGACTTTGTTGCTATCTTTCCTTTATGCAGCACTATGGATAAATACATTTAATAGGTTCTTTTAAATTATTTTCTCTACTGTAATCATATTGAATGTAACATACAGAAAAAGTACACATTCTTTACCCAGAATAGAAAATAAACGTGGAGGGGAGAACTGTAGTAAACATTTCACAGAATCACAGAATTACAAGGGTTGGGAGGGACCTCGGGAGATCATCTAGTCCAACCCCCCTGCTAAAGCAGGTGACTACATCTTCCTCGAAGTATAATTGGTATATTAAGTTGGATCAGATTTTGAGTATAGCTTAATTGAAAGCATTTTTATATTACCTAGACTGCTTTTTCCCTCAATTTTCTTAAAGTCAAAAAGACAAATGCTATCAGATGCTCTTATGAGCAGTGTTTGCTGCAGTAAGGATGAAATTTAAGAGATATTGGCACTGCCAAGTTGGGTTCTTTGGTAGGTGTTGAGCAAACAAAATAACTTCAGTGGAGCTCTGTTTGTTTGTTTAAATATTTAAGTATCTGTTTCTTTATGTTGTGAATTATTTCCCTCTACAAAATATTTCACTCAGGAAGATTGAGCATCTAATTCATGGCTGAGGATTCCCTTAGAAGGCAAAGCCTCTGAAATTAAGAGCAGGCAAACTGAGTGTTAGAAACTTAGCTCTTTTTCTACATCTAGTCTGAGGTCTTTCAATTAATAACCAAATGAGGATGCCATTTTTAAGGCATGAGTTTATAAAGTTCACATTTTTCAAGTAGCCACGTGCCAAGGTACATCCTTAACTGTAGATGAAATACACCGATAGTAACATGAAGCAAACATTTATTTATAAAGACCCCTGACTATCTTCTTAAGACTCTCCCATCAAATTGATTTTAAAGAGCAAAACTAAAATATTTTACAGTGTTAGCAATAGGGCTTTTAGAATCTGAGGAATAAATCATTAAAAAAAAAAAAAAGGTTAAAATGAAAAGCATTAGGAAAGATTCCCCACCCAGTATACATCAATATAACTGTAAACTGCAAAGAGCAGAGAAATAGATTAAATGCTGAGGGGGTCAAGATTACTGAATAGTCTTAAAATACCTCTATTCAAGTATGAAGTATTTTCTATTTAGTTTTTCACTATCCTTTGGAATATAAAACTAGGTCAAGTTAAAAAAAATTAGGAAAATTATTACCTGAGAATAATCTTCTGCATTTGAGTGTCTCCCACTTTGATTCATATCCACATTACTGTCACTTACATTTTCATCACTTTCAGTAACAGAAGGGACACAGGATATGGAACGAAATCCTTTTTTGATGGTAGACTGTGGAAAGTGGCTAAATAATGAAAGAAAACTCAAACACTTTAATCCATACATTTACGTTCAAATGACAGTCTTCATAACCATTCTTAACAGAATCTTGTCAAAATAATTTGTGCCTCATTTATTTTGACAGCTTAATAAGGCAGCACAAAATCTCTATATACATGTATTCCTTATCATTACTGGCTTGGCACTACACACATATCTACACTCAAAAGATGTGAACTGTTGTCCTTTTAACTACCCCTCAACAAAAAGAAAGCCCAAGTCAGCTGAGGAAAACTAGATCGTAACACCATAAGTGAATACATTTCTATGGCCCCTAGACAAGAAAAACACTGAAAATGTGCACTACCTAAATAGAGGCAAGGCAAAACAAAGTGCTTTGTGTCAGAATAGTTTTTCGTCTTTTCCCTCAAAATGGGTCTCCATAGCTACCAGACAGCTAAAACACACGATAACCAAGGAAACCTATGCAAGGCCTATTCTGGCTATAGTAAAAGAAAGCTCTGTCACTGGCTTCAGTGGAGTCAGAAGTAAAAACTGCTGTAAATAGAAATAACTCTTTGCTTGTTAAGTGAACTAGGAGAACAAGATGAAAACCATGTTGCACACATGCCAATTAGGCATAAATACCTAATTGTGTTATTGCAGCAATAAAGAACAGAGAAAAATGTAAGCATGTGTTATCTAACCCCCTTCTTAATGATTGAGATAATGAAGTATCAAGATCTTTAGCAGTAATAGTCACAATTATCTTCCCTTTGAATGTTTCAAAAGAATTTATTATAATAAAAGCAAGAGATTAAAAACAGTTTCAGTCCCAATTACGTATCTAAGTCCCTTATCTTATTTCAGCAGCCATATTACTGTAATGAAATGCTAATAGTTGCTATATATTTTTGGTTACTACCTGTTAATTAAATCATGAGAGATTAAATTAGCTGACTGTCATAGAAACTTAGCACATTAAATAAACTGTCCTTGACAAAACGGGGTTTAACTATGAAAAAAACAATATAAAATACGTTAACATGCAAATACTGCAACATCTTAATTATTATTCTCTCATTCTTTTAATAACCTATTAATGGATATTGCTTATAGCATTTTTATGTATTTCTACTCCTACTATTTTAAAACAAACAATAAGTAATGTAATGTATTTTTAACCAGTCAAATGCAACTGTATCAGCAAAACAATGATATTCCCAGAGTATTTCAAGGTCATTTCTTCCATGGACAAATGCTGCTGTTCAAAGCAAAAAAATCTAACTGGTTTATTATCAATCCACCCAATCATGATAATTAAGATGCAGAACCTATTAAGTATGTAGTTTATTCAGTTTAGTTAGAGATGTACTTAACAAAAGGTGTACACACCTTAGGAAACAACTTAGGAAACACACACCTCCAACAATTTACAAATTTACAAATTGTTGGACTCAGGATCAAGAAAAGAACTATCCTTGAAAATAACAAAAATTTGGTGCTCACTTGGTACGTGATACATTCAATGCTTCCTCTGTCAGGAGTCCAGTCAGAATAAAAGAGAGGAGATTAATAATTCTAGCAGTTGTCTACCGAATGTCCATATCATAAGCTGAAGCCTCACAGTAATGTATTATGCAGTGGGTCACAGAAAAAAAACCAAGGCCCTTATATACTTAATGGTAATCCTTCTTTTCTTGTCAGTGGGCAAGTATTATGCTGAATATTGACTAGAAGTGGTGAATACATGAATTTCTGAAACTTCTTCTCGAGGACACCCTGTTTAAACACCCTGGTTTTCAAGGGTTTATAGGACCTCCAAACAGTCTTTAACACAAGGCATTTATACAAAGTTGTGTTTTAAGTACAAACTGCTTCACCTGCACTCTCGGGCTTCTTGTAACAACTATAATGAACAGAGAACAGCCTGCTTTATTTATAAACGTTAACGTTAATTGTCCCACGCCAGATATGTGACATCCCTGAAACTACTGACTGGCCTGTCAATTACTTCCTTGTTATGTGCAAGAACTGAAAAATACCAGTAGTTTGAAGAAAAATTTCAAAGATCTCAATGAATATTCCTATTTCTGGTGGAAATGATCTATTGAATATTCTACATCTTTGGGCTCACTGAGCAGAGAAACTGGCAAAGTCTCCCTGCCCTTCAATGTCGGATGCCCTGAGAAGTGTGCATCCACCTAGGAGACTGTCCGCACAGGCTGCGACAAGGAGGGACCCACCCCTCAAGTACGTGCATGCCCACCTCCTGGTGGGCTTTCTCACCAACATGTGATTAGCAGATTATGGGGAGCAGCATATAAAGCTTAGAGCGTGCTGACCTGCATCTCCAATAGGAGGTGTATGCAAGTAGAAAAACCTGCACTGTGAAAAGAGAAAGTGTGCTTGTGACCCAGAATGCCAGGAAGATGCATATAACTGCGTATGTATGTCTGCGTGCGTGATTAGAAATGCTTGGGATTAGTTACGGAAAGGTGTTCAGAAGTTGTTAGGTGTTTATTATCATTTTGTGAGCATCTACTATAGTGGTTTATCTGTTATATTGCTGATATTGATCCTAAACGTGCAATTCACTGATTGCCAGTTAATTATGTGACATCAATAAAATAATAAGAGTGCTCTCATCCTGATGTGCTTTAAACTACATGAATTGAGCAGTTTTTCCCTGTGACACAAGTAAACAGAAGCCATTGCGCTTTCACAGTGAAATGGACTAACAATAGGATGTTGAGGCTGAAACCACATTGAATACTTACATGTCTGTGGGTATCGGGATAAGATTCAATTTGTAATTCAAAAATAGACTAGCAATCTCAACATGTTCTTCAGGTTTCTTTAGCACAGGCTCTGGGGAAAAAAAAAAAAGCAACTTGTTAAATATATATTCATAAGAAATATTTAATACTATAATTTTGACAAATGATTTCCATAGGGGATTCATCACCCCTAAATAATTCTATTTTCCAAGTATCATCACATACACTTGAATGGAAGACAACAACCATGGGTGGCTTTAGGTGACATATCATGAAAAAATTAGCGCTTAACGCTCTGATCCTCAGCCTGCAAGGCATTAAAACTGTGCTTAGCCTATATGTAAGGTTATCCAATGTAGCTCAAAGCAACTATGACAGCACATTCTGCCTTTGCTAATTTCCTCTGATTCTGACCCCAGTATATTTTGCTAAGCGTGCCTGTAACACTTTCACATTAAAGCTAACTCACATGATGCATTCAACTCCTTTATGCAGTATGGACAAACCCTCAAACAAGTTTACCCCTAGAACTATGAGTTGTTGCAGCAGGACTAGTCACATACTTTAAAGGTTTAAAAGGTGTTCAGAAGCTTTCATGGCTCTGCATCAGAGAGCTTTTGGGTTGCTTTGATAACACACCCTCTTCATTTTCTCCAGCAGAGTAAAGTGCTTTTTTAGAGATAAATTAAGACACTTCTCAAAGCATTTAAGAAATAATAGGGCTAAGGGGAAGTAATGCAAAATTGTCAAAAAAAAAAAAAGAGAGAAAGAGTAATCCCTAGGGAAGTTCTACTGAAATTAAGCTAACAGGCTTATAGCTCTGAAAATGTTTATACTAATTAAAATGGAATTACAAATTTATTTTGGAGGTTTGAGTAGACAAACCTTGAGGTTCAGATGTCACAACAGTTTCCTTTTTCTGACGGAAAAGCTTCCAACGAGGAACTGGTGGTGGCTGTGGTAGGGCTACCAGAGGACAGGACCTAGTTCTGGTAATCAGGACAGGATGACTATATATGTGGGAGAGCCCATATTGCCTCAGCTTCTCTGAAGAATCAGCCTATGAAACATGGAAAGGTAATCTGCTGGGGTCAGCTCGCATTTCTCATTTATCTCCCTCTCAGAAAAGAACAGTATACACACAAAAGCACCTAAGGGCTTGGTTAACAAATGAAACAAAAATCATTCACCTGACAAGGCTATGCAAAAGCATTATAATTAGGACTTGATGTTCAGCAGAAAAAAAATAATTGAATACTTAGAGGAGTATTTACATATCTTTTTACTTTTCATAATAGATTCATCACTTCTTTCAACTTACTTAACTAACCATATTCTTTTAGGTGCTGCAGAAAACATAAGTGAAGCAGAATGAAGATGTAAGTAAACAAGTGACAACACCTTCTTTTAAACAAACATATTTAATAATACTTCTGAGGAAAAAAAGCCCTTACTTAATTCCAAATTTTAAAAGCAGCAGAATTCTAAAAGCAACTGGTCTTTTGGATAACTTGTGAAATCTCCATAGCGTAAGATCCCTTTGAACCAATACATCACTAAAATTACGCTTTTTATCTGCTGGCTAATTTAGAAAACACATTTAAAGGCACTACAGTTGACCCATATACCAAAGCCCTTAGCAACAGACTTAAGAGCAATTTTAGATGTGGACATGGAGTGGTGCTCTTCCCATTAAAATAATAATGGTCCAGTACTTAACGTTTTTCACTGCTGAAAGTTCTGTTTACAAGATTTTATTTTAAAAATACACCTTCTTTTGCTTGCTAAATAAATAAATCATAACTTATTTCTTGAATATATATGTTCATCAGCAAGTCTCTGATTGCTCCTGCTCATTGTCAAATGTTCCTGAGATTCTATAATTACAAACGGCAGAGGCGAATGTAGTTGTTTTTATTTAAAAGCAGAGGATCAAATTAAACAAGTTAAGGTACACAAGCAATATATCAGCCTCATTTGATCTCTGAATTTATAAAGACATATTACACGAGTTACTAGGCACACACATATTCAAACAATTTCACAATGAAAGTTGAAACCTCTGAGATTATAAAGGATTTTGAAGACGACCAGTTAGGTGCCATAAAGGAGAACTTGTCAGCAGCTGAGTAGGAAACACAGTCGAATGACACAACTATTGATTTTTTTCATTTTATCTGAGCAAACTTAAGACAATTAAATTCAAGCCAAGGACATTCACACTAGAAAGCACAGCTAAAAGGGAATCGGCAAAAATTCTGGAGGGAAATTTTGGCACAACTGCAGTCAATGACAAAGTTTCCTCCAAATTTAGGGAGCAACTCTTATCCCAAACAATGAATCCACTCTTCCAAACTTTAATTATATTGGTGTAATTCTTCTTAGCCCCCAAAGAAAGCTTGAAAATGTGCTTTTTTAACTGAGTCCCACAAGAAATCCACTACACTTCTATTCTATATTTAATTTCTGTCAACTTCCATTTTTTCTATCAGTCTTTACTAAAATACTGGTTTAGACATATAGATTCATCTGCCTCATCCTATTTGGCCTGCCATGTCTCTTTTTCAGTAATCTCTGTACCCTAACAGACTGAAGCCAAGTTTGCAACTCAAGGCCTTAGGTGGCAGAAAAGATATAACCCTATGTAACCACTTCTAATTTGCTTTGTGATGACTAATATTATTTATTATTAGCAAAGCGACAGTATTGTCTGAGACCTTAAATTAATGAGTTAAAATAAAATCACAGAGAACAAGCTAGTCTTCAAAACAGTGTAAAGTACACAGCACAATTTTTAAAAAGAAAATAGTGCAAGAATTAAGAGCAGTAAAGCATAGCACTTGCAAAGCATTTCTGGAAATTTCTTTATTTTGTGAAGCCTATTAGTTTACATATCAGAGAAGACAGTTTAAATTTCAGTATTCTAATTATGATAAATATGATTTAAATGTACAAAAAATTACATCTGATTAATAATCAACTCAAGAAAGCCTGCTCTGGCACTATAAATAGCTTTCTGTAGAGTGTGAGTGACTAAGTGGAAATTTAAGCATTGGTTTTAGCCCAGCTGCATAAAGCTCTACACTCTCTCCAGCTGCTTTCACCCGTTACAACACTAATGATAGAAATGGATATAAACATGGTATTTCTTATAAAAAAACGTATCGGAAAATGTATATCAGAGAATTCATTAATTGCAGTCTGAAAAAAATTTCAAATTCATGGTTTTCAAGCAGCCCTTAAAATAATTAGTCTTTCCATTCAGAAGTATCTCATCATGATGCATTTTCTAGTCCACATGTAGCCTCTCCCAGGAGACTTCAGCTCCCAGGATCCAGAGGAAAGTGGAGTAAAACTGAAAAAATGAGCAGGGCTGTGGCAGGAAAATGCATGATCAGAATACAGAAGTAATGAAATATAAACCAGGTAGCCATTACCTGGTGACTGTTTCACTATACTAATTTTATTATTTTTGTTACAATGTAGTCACTACATAATGAAACACCCTGATAATAAAATATGTAATGCTTTCTTCTCCTGAGAGCACAGAATCTTACCATCTGCCCTAACGAAAAAATGTCCTCTTCAAACAAATGTAGTGGTATACAGCCAGCATACACGGCCATTTCTGGCTGGGTTGGCACAGAAGATTCTACAGAGAAAACATTAACATGCTTTAGAACAGGGTAAACTAAATAAATGTTGTTGTACCTCACCTTAAATTAATGTGCTTTCTCTGCCTTATTTTTATTATTCTTGTCTTTCTGTGATTGTTATTTCATTCAAAACAAGAGCTCACTGTAAAATATCCAGGAGAGAAGCCATGGATGGAAAAAACACATTGTTTTAATCCTTGCCCGTTTAGACCATCAACAACTTTTGCATATTTTACTTCTTTTACACAAATGAATAACAGAAACTACAACTTAGAAATGCAAAAGCGCTCGCCATTGTTCTTTTATTTTTCTTCAAACTTTAAAAATACTAGGTATTAGCATGAAGAACACAATACACATCATCTGGGTAGGTGAAGTAAAACCATACTGATCGTCAGTACTACCTAAAGGCTTCCCAACTAGTGAAAGCAAAATTTGAGCTTGCCAGCAAAAGGATCACAAGACAGAGCTCTGGCCACTCCTGCTGATGGATATGAAGATTGAGATAAGTAGTTTGAGAAACAGAGTGCTCATAAACCAGGGTTAGTGTCCTTACTTCTGTCAAGGAGATGGAAAAATTGAGGTAATGATGGCTGCTTCAGAAAGTGCGAGGGGGTGACCCCATAGCTCTTATCCCGCACGCCTTACGGAAGCTTATTTTCCTGTAATTCTGCCATAGGCAAGGCATAAGAGCAGGGGCACATTCACTTTGTTACCCCTAGAAATTTGTTGCACTAGGCAACCACATAATCGTCTCACACCTGTTGTACCTGTGAAAGGAGCCATTGCTAATTCCTGAATGCTGAAGAGAAACCAAGGCTGGCTGGCTGACAGCCAGTTCACTCATGCTGAAGGGAAATCAAGAGTCTAAAAATACAATACTAGAAATATAGGTCTGTGGTTTGACCTAAAAGTCAGCTCAAAAAGAAGGATATCTCTTTCTCTCTGTTTTTCCTTAGTCATCTAAGAAAGCATGTGAAGACAGGATTTCAGTACATAGGTTGTGACACCTATCTTTCATCTGAATGTTTTGCCTTTGTTCCCTTCAGCTCCACTTCAAATGTAGGATAATTGCTTCCTATGTTTAGTAAATATTCAGCTGGAAGTTGCTCTAAGAAAAGGTTTTTTTCTGTGAAATGAAATAAAACAATGCTGTCTGCATACAAAGAAAGAAGCAAAAGGAAAAGGAAATGAAAGGAAAAGGAAATGAAAAGAAAAGGAAATATAGGCAAGTGGCTGGAAAACAGAATTTATCAGACTTAAAATCCATTTATTTAGAAGGTATGAGATGGTTTGGGTTTTTTTTCTTAAAGCAGTAGGCTATCTCTGCATCTTGAATATACTTCCAGAAATAAAATTACTTGATTAAATATAAGCTGATAGTAAGTGAGAGTTAGTTTCCAATGGATTCTTAATATTTCTCACTACGTGCTTCTGACCCTGTGTTAATCCCAGCTCTTGTATTAGCTGTGGGTTTCAATTTATTCAAAAGCAAGGCTATAACCTAGGTTTGATCTCAGTCCCTACTGACATATCTGATCTGTTGTTACAAATACAGCAGTAGTAGCTACGACGTACTGCACATTACAGAAGAGTACATGCCACAAGGCACACCGATCTCATTGCATGTGAGAAGTATTTCTCAAATAGAAGTATTTAATCAAATACCAGGTGGAATGTAAAGCTGTCATATTCAGTCCAGATGGGTTGTGAAATAAAATGGCTGCAGGGCAGACAATAAACAGTAATGAACAAATTATTAGAGCATGCAAATGATTAACCAAGCACACCATACTCACTTTAATAATACCATTACAATGGTTATACATTATGCCAGTACCTTTTAAAAATAATAATTTGATCATTATTCACTGTAAAAAAATGAGGAGGATGTATGCAAATTATTTGCCACCAAGTGTACTGTTGATTAGTGTGAATGCAGCATCCAGGGAAAGCAGTTAAAACCAATAGCCTTGACAAAATTGTATTTTTAGATGAAAAATGTTATAACATATGGTACAACAAAACAGTTAGATTCAGCAAAGACTATTATTTACATCCATCAGCGTGGATTTAAGAGTTCTGTGGTGCTTTGTTAAAGATTTCTGAATCCTTGCAGCTGATTATGTTTAACATTTGTGGCTTTGAAAATTCATCTGTAGAGAGTGAGTACTACACAATCTGAATAAATGTTTCAGTCCCTGGGAAAAGGGAAAGTAGCATTTGAATTGATTCATGTAATACATATGTATATCCAGCCACTTAAAAAGAAAGGCCAAGAATTAAAATTGTTTTTAATAGTTCTTAATCATTCTTATTTTTTAAAAAATCATAATTTTGGAAGACTTGCAAAAAATTTTCTCACCATATCTTAAGGTTTATCTTAAATATTTATTTGTCAAAGGAGCTGATGTTGAGTTTTAACTTCCCAAAACACTTCAGTTGGCTTTCAATATCCTTCTTATCAGGTGGGCAGCTCATATTTTAACCTCTGTTGTTGTGTTAGACATTGATTAGCTTTGCCTATTGGAGGGTATTTCTTTAGTCTTCAGAAAAATTACCTATGTGCTTTTCAGAATTGACAAAAATATTGCAGAGTGATAATACGCATTTGAAAAAACAGAACAAAATATTAGGCTCTGGTCGCTACTTATAAATGAAAACTCTTTTAATAGGCAGAAGGAGAATGAAAAAAACTTTACAGTTAGCTATTATGTATCTCAGTGCCTCTGATGGTTAACATTACGGATCTACTTGCAGGACTTCAGAAATTTTTAAACATAATAATAATCCCCCAACATTTCTGTGACATAGAAAGTGGCATGGGAAATATTATTATCTCTAATTACAAAACCGGTATCGAGGCACAATGAGACTTAGCAAAAATAAATGGCTGGTTTGTAGAACAAACTCTCAAATTCCTGGCTAGTGCCCTCTCCAGTAGACTAGTATTCCCTCTCCCGCAGTTCAAAACAATTGGGAAAATTATTAGTCTAGAAACATAAATGGGAAGTGGAGCAGTTGCTCTTTATAGGAGCAAGGGGCCTAAGTAGCTCGTATCATATCATTATAAAACCTCTTTATGGAATGAATGGATTCCTTAGGTGTGGAAGGAGAAATAGTTACTAGAAGAAAAGGCCGATAAATGGAAAAGTGCAGACTGTGTCTGCAATGGCACAGTAGGAACAAATGAATTGTCTACAAAAGCTTCCCAAGGATGGGCTGGCTGACAAGCCACAGGACCAGGTGGCCGGTTGCTCTCAGGAAGAGCCCTGGCTGATCAGGTGAAGGGCTTGGTATCCTACTGGATCCACGCAACAGAATGAATAGAGGAACAGGTTCAATGCTTCAAGGATCCTGCAACTCATATTGTATTTGGGGGGTGCAGAGGCATTGGTCTGAGTGTGCAAGTGATTCAGAACTGTATTTATACATTTGTATTGGGTCTGGCTGGGGTGGAGCTAACTTTCTTCAGAGCAGGTCACTGGGTGCTGTGTTTTAGATATGCAACCAAAACAGTACTGACAATGCAGCAATGTATCAGCTATTGATGAGCAGAGATCACAAAGCATCAAATCCTTCTGTTTCTCACTCTGCTGCCCCAGCGAGTAGGTTGGGGGTGGGCAAGAGGTTCAGTCTTCCTGATTCTATCCTCTATCCTGTTGGTGGGAAGTGAGGGAGTGACCGGGTGTGGGGGCTTAGCTGCCAGACAGCATCAACCCACTACATTATAACCCACACAGAATTAAAAGCCTGCAAGAGAAGTTTCTGAGTACTTAGAAGTAACAGGTATGTCAATGTGTATGAAACTAAACAAGGTAATGAAGATATGAAGTAATGAATACAAAAGGGTTTGCCATTTTAGAAGTAAAATATAAGTGATATCACCTCTTTAGAAATAAATCATTTATCACAGAAAGAAGAACAATTCCCTTAAAGTCCTTTCACTCAATAGGTAGAGTGAATACTTGCAGTAAGGAAATAAGCACTTTTATGGTGCTGGAAATGAAATACTTTTCAAGCCACTTACAAAAAAAAAAAAAAAAGCTGTTGTATTAAGTAAAGTCACTGTTACAAAATTCCCAAGAAAATTCAGAAACTACTGCCTCTGGAGTTTGACCTTGAACCTAGCCCTAGTTCTGCAAGTTCTTCTGTTGTGGCTACAATCGCACAACAAAAATGCATTTTAATTCAGTATTATTTCAAATTGCAGTTCTCCTCTTTTTTTTGTTTCTCTGCAGTCTAATGGTCTTAAATTTTCTCCATATCTTACAGCCTCTAACTTTACCTTTACTCCTATTCAAATTCTTTTCGAGTTTAGTAGCAAGATATCTACCCCTTACTCTTTTTCAAAACTCTTTTCTGGTTCAGACCTAGGATAAAAGAGTTCTCTGACCATTTTATCTGAGCCCAGAACTACTAATCTTTCTAAATAACGTCCTCACAGGCCACTAACTGTCTTTCAGAAAACAGCATAAACTGTGCTTTACATGGTAGAATAAATATCAAAACATCATGTGGTTCTTCATACGGAAACACTGCCTGATTATTTTTAATGGTCTTTCCCTCATTTTGCACAATTTCTAGAATTCATCACTTGGATCCTTCTGTTTCTCCTTTGCTTTCTTTTCCCCACAACATGCTTGAGTATTGGGCACATTCCTTATATTCACGTGAATTGTCTCATTTCCTATTCCACAGCTATTACCACTAAAGCAAACTATGTTCCTGCAATACATTTTAAAATTTGCTACTGTTTAACTCCTTTAGTAGTAACTAAGGTAGGAATTAAAATTAATATATTTACCGATAGCAAACAGCAATATTGGTTTGATATAAATTAAAATTATTTAAACCACCAATTTTGATCAGGATTTAAATCAAGAGGCAGGAATCTGATTTACATAGTGAATTTCATTCTTGTTATACATTTTTACTGTGTAGCTATTTTCCCAAAGAAACATGCTTTACCTATTCTTATCTGTTGATTTGCAACCGGAAAATATTCCAGTTAATACATATGGTTCCTTCTGCTAGCCATATGGAAATGTTACATGTTCGCAAATATAAGGAATGACAAAAGCAAATCAGCTTAATGTACATTTATGAAAACTTTCTATAGTTTATGATAGTAAGCATGACATTTCTTATTAACTGACTAGTTAAACAATTAGTATTTACTTGTGGTTTGTTTAAACTGTATTTTGTTTTTAATAAAAAAAATTAAATGCACAAAGCAAGAGTTTACTTAATTTTTAAGATATTATGAACAATACAAAAAATAAATTAATCAAAATATATTTCCAGGATTAAGGAAACATATCTATTAAACAATTAAATCATGAAGTGAATTCTAATGAATATTTCTGGCCACTCTGCTCTTCAACAAGGAAGCATCCCTGCTTTTTCCAACCACGATTTACTGAATAAAGTAGATATTGAAAAAATCAGTCATTATAATACAGAAAGACAGTTTACCACTAGAACAAATCTTGGTTCTACATGACTGCCCAGCTACTTCCAAATATTCTGCATAGCATTACTTTACATTTTTATATCAAACAAATTACTGCAATACTGTTCTTAACATAAATTATAGGATTTTAATAGGTTATAATGCCTTCAGTCTGTAATGCAGTCTGTAAAGAATTGCAATTTTTTAACAAATTAGGATATTTAACTTCCCTCAATTAAGTTCAAAACTAACTAAATCAAAGCAAAGCCTTTTGCTTTACATATATCTCCTGTTTGTATTTTCAGCTTCAAAAGAATAGGGCTTACTTTCAGTTAAGGCTTGAAGAGAACACTGGGCTTCTGCCAACATTTGCGAAGACTGAACTGGGAACTTGTTTTTATCTTTTTCTCCTTCTCTGCTTTTCTTCTTTCTGATTTCTCTCTGCTCTGCTTTTTCTATTAAGCAAAATAAAGATTAAATATTTTTCTTTTTCAGGCACAAATTTTGAGTCATAAAGTCTCATACTGTGTAAATGCTTTAATGACATTTTAGATAAATTTAAAGAAAAAAATCAACCACAAACTATTCCAGTCAGAAAAGTTGACATACAATAAAGAACTAATGTCATTCAGTTTAAAAAAAATAAAAAATAATTCTTAAGATGTAAATGAAGATTCACTGAGAAGGGGCCAGGAAGGCTTCGGTCCCCACCTTACAGTTACTACACAATTCTCATGTCCCTGCTATAATATTTGGAATTCCTGAATTCCTGGCACTGTGTCAAATATTTTCTGCATGTCCCTGCTCCCATGCATCAGTAAGTTCCAAAATAATCTAACATAGATGAAGCATAGGTTCCCAACAGACATGGAAGAAGAAAGTCTCACACAGTCAGAACTTCTTTTCAAGCCTTAGAACTTAGACTACAGGAAAATACATTTCTAAGTAAAAAACCCCAAACATTAATAGAGCATCAGAACACAGCTCGTAGCCTCAGAGTTGGAGATTCCAGAGCTGTATCATAACATAATGCTTCCCTGATTCTTAGCTGTTTCAGTTACTAATAGGATTTCTAAGTCTTAGGCAGGATTTACAAAGTTTTCTGGGAATAAATTACAGCACGCTGTTGGATGAATGACAGTGCTGTTCCCAGTGGCTGCATCCCTGCGCACGTCCATTCCAAACTCTGAAATATCTCCTACGCTGGTGGGTGGGTCAAGAGAATACCCCCTCAGCCAGATCTCTTCTAATATTTTTATAACACTTCTGACATTGTCTAAGTATTTGGGATTCAAAGTGGGGAAAGCAGGTATTTTTTTTGAAAATCCATGAAGAAATAGAAATTCTAGTATATGATTTGTACCTTCCTAAGATATTAGAAGTGTTGTAAAATTGCATTCTTGCCTTCAAGTTAAAAACAGCAACTAAGAAAACTCAGCCTTAAATATAAACATCAGAATAATATCCCGGAACAAATAAGTTTCTAAACCTCAGTCTTTTCATTTAAATGTAAATAGGATTAGAAGCTCTTGAAGAAAATTAATACCTATACCTAGTAGCATAAACAGAAAAGTTGCTATAAATAAAAATGCAGGTAGACATTAGAATGTACTTGTCAGAACCTGCTGTAGGTAATCGCGCTTTGTAACATCCATTATGATACGTAAAATTTATTTATGGTCAGAGTAGTGTTGCCTTTGGGCAAACTGCAACCTCTCTGTTTGTTATCCCTCTGCAAGGAACCAGTCTTTAGAAAAATGGCTGTGACACAGAGCTGAACAAATCTCTGCCATGAAATGTTTTCATAAAACAAGAGACTAGTACTGCTTCTAGTGAGATCTATAGGTAAAACAAAAAATTTCTGAATTTACACCATTGCAACATGTTCAGTGAAACAACAACAAATCCACATAGTTGCACGTGGCATAATAAAGACATATAAATTTGAAGCCAGATGTTATGGTAGCTTTATTTATGCTTGTCCTACAAATATGAAACTACCTAAAATTACAGACCTTTGCCAATTTTATCAGCTTTCTCTCCTTTCTCAGGCTTATCTGACTGCTTACTCACAGATGAAACTTCATTTTTTAACTCTGAGACTTTGGTCTCTTTAAGTTTTTTATCTGACTGAGGAATATCAAGTTCTGGAGTTTTCTCATTTGGCAACTTGAATTCTGGCACAATCTCTTTCAAAAAGCCCCAGACTTTGTCCAAGTATCCAGGCCTTTAAAAACAAACACATGTATATGTCAATGATAATGATATTTGCAATAAAAGAAAGTGCAATTTTCATTTAGACAACACTATACTACAACTGACAGTTCAACTCTTAGAAAAGTTGCTGGGTTATTTTCTAATAAAACACACTTGCCCCATTTTGTGTATCAGCCAATTTGTTAAGAGACAGATCCATAACAAGAGATGGTGATTTGAGAAGCATGTAAATATAAAGCATCCTTTCTAAAGCTCTTTAGCAGATATAAGTTGCAGCAGGAAAATTTGCAGACGAGTTTGCAACTACAGCATATAGTAACTTGATTCTGGCTCTGCACTTTAAAAAACCTTCTCAAAGGTACTTCCAAACTCGGTTTCCCTAACTGTTTCAGCATTGGTAGTTCCATGCCTCTTCCACTGATTCCACCAGCTACAGCAGCTTTTTGAGGTGACATGACAGTTGCAGCCATACTGGTTCTCCACAGAAACTCAGTGATACCAGAAATAATCTAAAACTGAATGAACAGTGCAGGGCCATGACCAAGTTTCATGCAAGCTAACTGCATGGAACCTTTTTTTTTATTTTTGTTTTTTTAAACAAAATAATTGATTGCACAGTAAGCTAAAGCCATCTTATGCTATTATTGCAATATACTGTGGTATTCACATTTTCTTATTCCAGAATATAATATATTTGCAGTAAGTGCCAGATTCATGAATACTACTTTTTGCCATTCAAATGTAAAACTAACTACATAAAGGAACAAAACGTAGGTTAATTAGATTTCTAAGTCCATGGGCTACATACACACTGCTGTAAGACAGGAATATATCAAAAACCTAAATTGCAAGCATAGCTTGGGACATAAAAATTGCTGAAATAAGGGCTAAAATAGCCCTCCACTGAACTTATTTAATACTGAAAGACCGTTATAAATAAACAATTATACCTAAATAAATTATATATAAACCAAAACTATTTGTTGTCTACGTATTCATTAGAATGTATACATCAAAAAGCAAAAAAGTATAATTTAAAAAAAAAGCCTAGATATTTAGAGCCTGCATCCTGATCATTCATTCAGTAAAAAGAATGTCAAGCTGGAAAAATAGAATGTATGTTCTTTAAACCACAAAATGAACTTAAACACAAGATAAACAAGAAAAAAATGTTATTATAAGTTGGAAATACTATTTTAGTTGAAAATAAAAGTGTATCAACTGTTCCAATTTAACAGGTGAAAACACCATACGAGCTGAAGTTGATTACTTCCAAATTCATGATGTATACTTTCTATAGTACATTCAGATACAGAGTTGTTATTATTACTTGCAGACAATTTGTATCTGTATACTGGATGAAACAGATTTCTCTAACCCTGTTTTTACCACGGTGTTTAATATTAATTAAAAATAAATTAATTTTATAAAGAATAGGCATCAGCTTAACATGATAAATAGCTTTACAAGCAACCGTATGACCTACAAAGAAAAACAAAATAAAATTGCGTTCCTTGAAGGCACATTTTTCAAGTGCCAGAAGTAAAAAACGTACACTTCCAAAAACTAATGTGAAGGACTTGGCTTTTATGCTGAATGGCTCAGCTTTATTTTTCATAATGCCTTATAGAATTAAATATTAAGCAACTAATATGTAAATTGTTTAACAGAAGAGCTTACTGGAGAGGAATAACTTCTGGTATCCATCCAGTCAGTGTTTGTAGAACTGTAAATTCCTCCAACTCTCTTCTTCCAATTTCATATATACTGTAAGACAAAACCAGTCATTATACAGAATGATAATATAACCAACTCACAGTTAACTCTGTAGTCTACATTGCTTTCCATAGGAGCAAGACCATACCCAAACAGAATAGCTTGCTGAAAAACAAGGGACTTTGCTTTACTGGTTTACTGTGTCACCTTTCAGAAAAGTGTACATTTGTCATTAAGAACTTTCTAGCAAAATGTATTTCCCATTATACTAAAGCAATTTTTCACAAATTCCATATGACTTCACAAAACAAACTGAGCTGACTAAACCTACCTAGTATTTGCCAGCTTAATGATAGCTTTGGACAGCAACATTGGCCAAAGTTCAATTTGACAGGTTGTAGCTGGCAGTAACAAATTATCCTCTTCACTGAAAGGCATAGTGTCATCCACAATGATCTTTCTCCAGCACCCCTATGATAGAGGGAGGGGGAGGAGAGAAAAAAGAAAACAGAGAGTTTGTGTGCTGGACACAGAACATGTATGTAAGAGAACTTTTAACACTTTCCCAAGAACCCAGTTCTACTGTAATTTGATTTACATTACAGATGGCTTTAAAAGAAGTTCTCATACAATATCTAAGAAGCATGGAAACAGTATTCATAGCATTTTAATACTGCTTTGACTTATTTATTTCAGAGATTAATCTAATTGCAGCCATTTCCAAACACATTTCCTCTCGTATGCGTAGTCCATCATGTGCACGTATTCATTGCTGTTTCTTCAGCTGCCACAACAGATGCCTAAGAAACAGGAATGATTAAAAAACCATTTAACTCGCATATCAGTTTTGCAAGTGCCTCTCTAAGCTCTTACTCTGGAAAGTACTTGTGATACAAGCAGCGCCCCTTGCTTCCCAAGAACCACCTGGTAATGTTGGCTGCAGTGCTTAGTGTCCTGGAAAGCATTAAGATTGTATCTTACAAAACACTATAGGAAACAACACACAAAATGCCCAAACGTAACAGATACCCATATTTCCAGGATAAGAAACAAACAGGTAAGACAAGATACTGATGTCTCCAATAACAGATCTTTCATTAGTAAATTGAGCTAGTATCCCACAAAATAATCTTGCCTACCATTCTTGAGAAAAGACTCTGTCCTAGTGATTAAAATGTAACTGAGAGGCAAAGGAATTAGTGGGGCAACAGCAAGTATTTCTGTTAACTAGCCCACAAAATGATGAAGACTGACCAAATCACTAAAACGTTCACCATACATTATCGGAGAGGGCAAAATTACTGCTCCCTGCTTGTAACCGAACTGTGGCTTCAAACTGAAATGCCCGTTGATAAACTGTATGAGTTCTATAGGTTTCAGAAAAAAACAAATTTAGGCCATATGGCAAAAAAGAATAAAACAGGCTAATATTTTCTTAGAATAAAAACTATTTGCTGACAGTCAAAATTAAATTTTTAAGATTTCCCAAGTTTGAAAAAGACCTAGTAAGTGAAATGATCACATATTCATCTCCTCTTTCAGTCATTACTGAAGTTTAATAGAGAGAACAGTACAAGTTGAAAAGTCAAGGAAAAGATTGAGGATATATTTGGTTTTCTATAGCTCAGGACATTTTTTAATTCAGAGTAATAATCCTGTGCATGTAATTCCTAAAATAATATTTTTTGCATATGTAGCACCATTAAAAAAAAATTCTCTTCCTTACCAATTGCTCATTTTTATACTTAATAAATAATAGAATCCATATCACAATTATTTTGCATCAGTGATAACCTTTTATAGCATTTCACTGTTAACTCTAAAAAGAGTTACACTGGTTTTAGCAGATAAAAGACCAAGAGAAAAATGGAAAAATAGGTGTGGCAGAAGGTTTATTAATAGAATAAGAAATCTATAGGTGAGAAAAAGTGGAAATAAAGAAACAAATTCAATAAATCTCAGGAATGCAAAGTGAAAGCAGGATGTGGAGTAGAACTGAAAAAATATTGTGCCAATATGAAAAATTATTATCCACAGGTTTGATGTGGTGGATGACAACCCCCGAAGGACTCAGTCAGCGTTCTACTGAAACCCGTTCATTATTCTTCCACTGTGTTTTCTCTCCCTTTTCATTTAATTTTCCACTTTCTCCTGTGAAATCTGCTTCTCCTCTGTCTCTACTGATATTTTTCTTTTCTCATTTGCACATTTTCTTTACTCTTCCACCATTTGACCCTCTTTTTTTACCTTTTTTTCTTTCTGCAAAATACAGCTGTACAACCAGAGGAAAAGAAATTTAATAAACCCAAAGGCCTAAACCAACCAAACAAAAAAGTGACAAAGAAACTAAAACACCTTGATAACTCTTATAGATGCTTTAAAATGTAGTCTTTTATCACATGAATGTACAATCTCTGCAGCATTAAATTCACACACAGAATAATGTCCTGTGCTGAGGAACCTGAGCAACATCATTTCTGCTTTCTCAAACTCATGCAACTCTTATTCCCTATATGAATATAAGTTATTCCGTATGTGGAGGCAGTAGTAAGGGATGAGGAAAGCATAGGCATGTAAAGCAGCTAAGTGCTCCCCCTTACAGGAAAGTTAAGAGATTCTTCCAGTTTAACTGCTTTCCTATTTCTTCCTCAGTGCTGGCTGGCTGACATGTATCAATAGCAAACTGCATGAAACTTCCTTTTAAGATATCATATTTGATCTATACTGTATTAGAACTTTAAGCTTTTCTTGATACAAATACATAGTGTAGGATAATTAAAAAAAAAATTAATATGCTCAGGGTTTTATTCCCTCTCAAGAGATACATATCAAACTGCAATGCGCATAAGTGCAGCCATTCAAAAGCTCTCCCTGGCTTTGTTTGCATTTCTCTTCATTCCAGAAGATGGACAGATTTATAAACAATTTAACAGGGTGATGGAGAAGCAAAATAAATCCTTCCTTACTTTTATTCACAGGAATTTTTTATACTATAACCACTAGAGTAATGGTTTCCAGTGCAGAAATAGAATATGAGCAATTTTCCAAGGGTCATGGAAGTGTTTGAGTAATTATTTTGTATTTGTATCTGCAGAAATTTCTGAAAGGACTCTGCACTGAGGTGTCTCTAAGTGACGTGCTGCATGCAACTGTGAGGCTCTCTCCACGCCTCCAGCACAAAACTTGGCCAGCTTATCCATCTGAGGCACAGACCTGCTGCTGTCCCTCTCCAGAAACATCATCCGCTGCAGATGCAATGCAAGATCCTTTACTTTGAAGTTCTAAAAACATTGTGAGATGGGATGTTTGTGCCCTCTCCTTTTGTAGAGCAACATCTACTATCTCAAATAATGGTAAACTGGAGACTTGCCATGAGCACCATTAGGAAAACAAAATCTCTTCACTCTTCACCGAATTATATATATATTCTTTTCCTCTCCTCTGGTATATTTTTCTGTCTCCTTCTGTTATGCATTTAAGAGTGTTGTCCTTGAGTATTCTGACCTGCACTCTTACATTCCATCTTCCAAATCCTTCCATTAACCACATCAGCCCTTTTCATAAA